GAGCTGCGGGGGGCGGGGGGCTTTGGTTTGGGTTGGGTGCAGGTCGTCCGGGGATGAAGGTGATCGGAGCCGAGCTCCCCGTCAGTCCACTCTCGTCTCGCAATGCGCGTGCTCGTGCTTTGTCTGCTGTCCGCGGCCGCGGCCGCCGTCGCCGAGGTGCCAGAGCCCTCCCCCGTGACCCTGGGGCTCGACAGCGGCGAGGCCGCCGCCGGTCGCAGTCAGGACGAGACCCAGGAGCGGCGGTACGACGGCCACGTCGTGCTCCGGGTCGTGCCGCGCACGTCGGCCGACCTGGACGCCTTGGATAAGATACTGGTCCACGACAGCGAGGTGGGTGAACTTGGCGCTTCGGAAACTTTGGCACGACCACGGGAGCGATGACAAACATGTGGCTGTGCGCCTGAGTGCAGGTGGACGTTTGGAGGCCAGCATCGCGGGCGGGCGAGGAGGTGCACATCTGCGTACCACCTTGGCGGCTCGACGGCGTCGTCGGTGACCTGGAGAGCCACGGGTTACAGCAAAGCGTCATGATTCGGAACGTGCAGGGGTGAGACAAAAACGACCTATAGCCAACTGGCATCAATCTTTTCTGGTCGACAAATTGTAAGACTTTATTTTTTCAGACACATCGACAACCAAACCCAGTCTGACGTCGGACGTGACCGTCACGGTGAATTCGGCTTTGACAACTTTTATCGCATTGATACCGTAAGTACTTCGCCCATTTCTACTCACCACAACGATATAAAGTTGGGCGTGTGATTAATTTTTGGCGGTAATCCCTCTCTTCCTCCCCCTCCAAGATTTACAGCTGGATGTACAAGCTGGCGAAGCGGTCCGGTGGCGTGGCGAGCGTCGTCAAGGGTGGGCTGACCTCCGAGGGCCGGCACATCCTCGGCGTGCGCGTCGCCCACGCCCCGGACCTGCCCGTCGTGATCCTGGAGGGCGGCGTCCACGGCCGCGAGTGGGCGTCCACGGCGGCGGCCGCCTTCGTCCTGGACCAGCTCGTCGCCGGCGAGGACCCCGAGGTGCGGCGGCTGGCGCGCTCCTACGAGTGGCACGTCTTCCCCTCCGTCAACCCGGACGGCTACGAGTACTCGCACACCACGGTATGTACGGCCAGCGTGGCAGTGAACTGAACGCCGTGCAGCACGAATGACCCTCATGACCCCGCAGGACCGCCTCTGGAGCAAGTCCCGCGCGCGCACCACGGTCCGCTGCCACGGCGCTGACCTCAACAGGAACTTCCCCCATCACTGGGGAAGTAAGTAACATCGCGGGCATGCACTTGCCCACCTACACTACCTACAGGGGTGGTCAGTCAGCCCCGTTCTTTCTTCTGGTTATACTGTACTGGACGAAGGCGTGCGTGCGGGCTTGCCTACAGTCGCTCGCCGAGGTGCCTGCTCACGGCGCCGTGCAAGTTGCGAGTAGGCAACCCGTCCGCACGCCTGCATCCGGTACAGTATAACCAGGGCTGACGCGCTGGCGACTGTATGAGTAACCTGCATCTCCCCCGCTCAGCCACGGGCGTCTCCTGGGACATGTGCTCCAACCTCTACCCGGGGACGCGCGCCGCGTCCGAGATCGAGACCCGGACCCGCATGGCGTACCTGAGCCCGCTCCTCGACCGCACCAGGGCCTTCATCGCCCTGCACAGCTACGGCCAGTTTCTGCTCTTCCCCTGGGGCCACTCGACGAGCAGGGACGC